AAAATAATAAAATCGGTTCGTATAATCCTCGTAGCGGTTAAACAGAATGCAATGTTTGTCCGAATCTTTAAGCTATTCTTAGAATCAGTGCGCTGCGCTGATTGGCTCACCAAATAGTTTCCGCTACATTCTGTTCTTTCCTTATACATGGCTGCCTTCACGTGATTGAACTTGTTTGAAGGGTTTTGCTATTTAGAATGCCATGCGAAATGAGATCGTTATCAGTCTTTGTTCGACCGACGGAAGGCAAAATCTAAAGATAAGGAAAATGACGTCAAGTTTCTGGTAACGGTTGATATGACGTCATGCCTATCACTAATTTCCGTTCCTGTTGTTTTATGACGGAAGAATGGAGAAAATTCTAACCAATTATGTTGCTGCACGCTCGATATTCCCCTGCTTTCTCTTATACAGACTCTTCCCTTGGATTTCCAACCACTTCATTCAATATTGTCTAGCATTTCCGAGTGATCCTTCTCTATCCTGCTCAAGAGGAGTCGCTTGAAATTCTAGTAGCATTTTTGTGGTGTAAAAGGCTTAGCATGTTTGAAAAAGGGTTTTCTGTTATTCTATTAAAGAAAGTCATGTCCACCATTATATAAAACCGGATTTTAAAAAACTTAGAAGTCGACTAACTGCTTTTAGAAAAATTGTATTGAGGATGATTTCGATTTGCGTTTACATTATCGGTCGCATTAGCTAGACTCAGGACATGAGCAAACAGCAAACTAATACGCTTTGGACGTGACAAACCACAAGCAACCGGTTATAGAAAAGTAATTCAAGCTATGACGTAGCTATGAATGAAGATAAAGATTCACTAAGATTTAAGGAGGTGATGAGACAAGCTAGTATTGGAAAGGTTATTCCATGGAAGAATAATATCAGGCATTATAGCCAATGACAAGCAATAAAAACCAAGCTGACGGAAACTGAGGAAATGATCGCGTAAATGAATTGAATTGGTTCAGATTTATTAGGTATTTTCAGCAATAGAAATAAATCAATAAATTAAATATCGGGGATTTTGTTCTTTTTCATTTAAAATGAGTATGCTTTGGGCAGTTGAATTATCCCTAATGAACTATGGTAAAAAAGGAATAGAAAACTGAGATTCGAAATCAAAAAAAGTGAGAGAGAAAATAGAATAGAATAATAGAATAAATAGAATAGAATAGAATAAATAGAATAAATAGAATAAATTTAAGTTAAATGAAATGAAATTGAATTAAATTAAATTAAGTTAAATAAATAAAATATAAGAAAATCAAGGAAACGAAAGAAAAATAATTGAAATGGCTCGAAAGGAACAGAGAACTGGATATAAAAGTAAAGGAAAAGAAAGGAAAAGAGAGGAAATGAAATGCGTGTGAAATGCTTATGAAACGATAGGACAAGAAATGGAAAGAAAGAAATGAAGGTGAAGGAAATGAATTAAAAGGGAAAGAAAAAAAGAGTTAATTGATCGAAGACAAAGAGGAAATGAAGAAGTAACAAAGAAACAGAGAAAAGGAAAGAAAAAGAAAGAAAGAAAGAAAAAGAAAGAAAAATAATGAAGAGAGGACAATAGTAAGAAAGATTAAAATGAGTTAATGCGGAACCAATCCGATCTTGGAAACAGACAGTACAAGCTTACACAAAACCGCTCTGTGTGTATAATTTGAAAATCCAACTAACAAACCTCCACAGATAGAATTAAAAGCATTCAAATTATACGCCATTAAACAGAAAACCTAGTCAAATCAGCTGCACTTTGGTAATTACGATCAAATATCCTATTCAGGTTGATAGATGACTAGTTAGTTTTCCACAGTACATCAAAAGGATTGCTGGAGTTTTTTTGATTTTTCTTTGTCAATGTTTTTTCTTCTTGTTTTGTTAACGTTTTTTTTTTTAAATTTTAAACACACACACACACACAAACTAACTAATGCAGTACCCCACGAAGTCCTATTGTATTACAAAAAAAAGGTGTTTCTCAATTTCTAAATATTTCGTTTTTAATCAGCTCTTGTTTTACGTACTATTTTATCTTCAATGTAAATTTCTTACCTGTTAGACTTACGTTAAATAAGGAACAATGACATCTATTCAAGGATTTAAGCTTTAATTTAAAAAAAAAATTCCCTATGACTGGAGATAAAAGAGATGCGGTTAACTTTTGAAAGCCACAAGGCCCTAAAATGAGAAACTCATTATCATACGCGATGCTGAATTCAAATATCCGATTCAATGATATTAAATTTACAAAACAGTTGAGTGGTTCTCGATTTGATTTCGTTCGAATCGGCAGACTGGCAAAAAGAAAAAAATATTTTATATTATGAAAAAAAAAACACGGATGTTATTTGTACCTAGATATTATACGCGCGTACGATTAGCGTGTAAATCATTGGTGAAAATCTCCAGCACTCTACCTAAGTGGACTTGATTTGCATACTAAAAAAATCTCTTGGGTGTTCAGGTAATTGCGATTTTAGAGAAAAAAATTACTGATTTGTATACATTTGCCACCTTGAGAGAAAAAGTGTGCGCTAAAAGTGTTTTATTGTTCTGGCATATCCGGTTTTTCTTCCTAGAACATTGATGGATTGGCAAAAAATAGCTCACAGAAACTAAAAATAGCAAAAGAAAAACTCCATTATAGACGTGCGGCAATATAGCTTTTGTTTCGTGATTATCACTACCCCAGGTCGTTTATATATATAACTTTGATGTATGTATGGGGCCAGAAAATTCATTCTTTCTCTGATGAGATTCATTCCGGAATACACTTGTTTTGTGTTGTCACACTGTTCATTGATTATTGCGAGCTTCCTCTCGATGTTGACCAATCACATGCCGTGTTTTTCATTGATAACAAAACAACTGTCACGCTCAACCAAGCGCTTCATTTAAATAAAAATCACAAAGAAAACTTCTTGGGGGCTATTTTTATTATATTCATATTTTGCTTTTAACGAAACACATCGTCTAAGAGTTTTCTTTTAGTGTCTTTTATGTAGGGTTGACAAAATCAAGTCGATTCTCGCGCGGATTTCGTCCGTCTTCGCCGTCATTACTACACGAGCTGTATAATGCATTTGTAATTCGCGCGGTCTTTGTCTCTGCCACCTGGTCGTGTTTTGATCGAGTGCTCGCGAAGTCGAGAATAAATAATTCATAGATTGGCGATCAAAGGACTAATGAGAAAGTCTCGTAGCAAACACTGCTCTACACGGGCGTAGATAGCTTGCTTACAATGTGAACACAGTGAACAGAATCGTGAGGGAAAGTGTCCACATCGACCAAGATGGGCCGTACGTATTCTCCCATCTCAATAACTTGCGAATTTAAGATCTGTAAGCTTTGTTTCTAATGATGTTTTGTTTGATTTCTAGTTCCTATACCTGCCATAGTTTTTATGGCAGTCATCGGTGGATGCTGTCTGTTGCTATTGATTCTTTATCAATGCTTAAAGGCAGGATTCTTCTTCAAGACTGAGCCTCCCGAAAGACCCAACGAGAAAGACTACGCCGAACTCGGCGAAGCATACGGTACCGAGACCGACGATGATTACTTAGGCCCTTCGTCAAAAGGAACGAGTCGCCGAAGTAGCTTTAACACTAGCGGGAGTAAGTCTGACGGCGAATTGGCTTTGGGAGAAAGCGCTTCGGTTTGTGGTTATGGAAGATACTCCGACTCCGACTATAGCCCAGGTGCTCAGAGAGCTATTTCAGCATATGGGGAAGCCATTGATGGGCGAGATGATCTTCTCTCTAATGCTGGTAGGATACAAGTATCCGCTAGCTATGCTCCAACATCTGAAAAACTGACGGTCAATATTATTCGCGCCGAAGACGTCCCTACCAAGCAACGTGGTGGGGCTTCGACTGTTCAAGTTCGTATTGTTTTATTGCCTACAAAAAAGCAAAGATTCAAAACCAAGRCAAAACCCGCAACTAATCCTAACTTTCAGGAGACTTTCGTGTTCAGTCGTGTACCACAGAGTGAGATGCACGAATATACTCTAAGAATACGACTGTACGGCCATGAACGAATAGGAAGAGATAAGCTGTTAGGAGAAACTAATATTGTTCTTCCTGAGTTCGAGTTGGATGGGGACGGAGCTGGCCTCTGGAGAACTCTTACCCCGGGAAATGCGATCGGGGTAAGTACAAACTAACTGTTCGATGTTAGTTAACAACACTCCTAGAGTGTTAACCAAATTACACTCTAAGTACCAACGCTTTCTTTGGCTTGCAGTTTACTTCTTACTTTACTTACAAAAATTAACAAATTGGCTTTTTTATTGTTTGAAAAATTGAGGAAATAACGACAGAGAAATTGGCAGCAATTCCATAGTAATTCCCTTGGAGACTAACACTGACAACTATAACTACAGTGTTGAGAGCAGTGATCCGTTCAATCGATTCATCTTCTCGTTTCAATTCAGTGGTTTTTCAAATAAAAAGACGGCCAAATCTTTGCCTTAAGAGTCCAAAGAATCAACTAGATAGCTGTAATATCATTTTAAAGTGTTTTTGTAATTAAAAAATAAAAAATTTTAAGTTGGGAAAAACAAAAACAAAAAAAACAGCGACACATAAAAATAATTAAAAAATTCAGAAGTTATGCAAATTCCCAGTCCTGTCAAGTACTCAATCATTCAGCCGAGAAAAGTTGGAATATTCAGTCGAGAGAAAACAAAAGTTATCTTCTGAATTTGGCGCCCAGTAGAGTTCCATAAGAAAGATGCATTCTTTTTTTATATCTGCATTAGACATGGTTATTTTTCCAGCCATTAAAATTATATTCGAGATTTTAAACTTTGATTTAATTAAGTTTTTTGGCTTCGGGTTGAAATCTTGTCTTTCGAGCATTTGAGTGATCTGAGGTTAAACCTCTGTGTAATTATTCTTAAAGTCCATATGAGAATCACTGATCCGTGGTTCATTAAGGTGCTTGTTTTGTTTAGAAAAAGAAAAGATAGCTTTCTAAGCATTTTGCTCATTTTTGCACATCCGGGGTATAAGTTGCCCGCGAAACCTTCCTGCGTCACACTTGGTCAATAACTTCACCGCTTCTTTGAATCTTTTGTTTTTTCGTGGAGTTATTTCATGTTTCTACATAGATATAAATTTGAAAGTGTAATTTATTGACCACAGACGTGAAGAATTGCATTTTGTTTTGTTTTAATTCTATGGACGAAACCTTTTCCAGTGGTTCGTTGAACGCCGTTGATTCACAGAATATGACAAAGGCGTGGGAGGAATGCCAAACGTGGGTGATCTATCACTAAGTTCCTTCCTCGAAGGAAAACATCTTTCAAATTATACCAAAAACCAAACTTTTAAATTCTCTACTCATTAATCTCATCAAAAGACAAGTACATAGTTTTTCGATGAAACGTTCCTTTTGAATCAGCTTTTAATTTTCATATATAAGCTACAGTTATTAGTGCTTGGAATGTTTTTCTCTGTCGGTGATTATGGGTCATTTGTTGTTTTTTTTCAGTGTCATTAAGTCGTCTGAATTTAATTCGCTATTCCAAGAAAATACATAAAAAAATTTTTTTTAAAGATCAGAAGACTAGGAACTCATCTTGATGCTTGCTTGTGGTGCTAGATTATTTTGTTTTCTTTACAAAGTTAAAAAAAAAAAATGGATAAATAAAATAAGACAGAAAGTTTATGAATCTCTTGTGGTGCGAGATTATTTTGTTTGATTTACAAAGTTTAAAAAAAAAAATGAGGTTTAAATATAAAGTCGTGGTTTCCGTTGTTTTGCCCCAACCAAGCCAAAAAAAAGAAAAAAAGAAAAAAAAAAAAAAGAAAAAGAAAAAGAAAAAGAAAACAAAGAAGGGGTAGATAGATGAAAGAATGAATGATGGCAGTCAAGTGAAGACATTAGCATAAAGTTATGAATCGTTTTGATACTGACTCATTTTTATCTCTGTTGTGAAAAATCTCAAGCAATATCGATAACAAATGTGTGTTAAACGATGGAGAAAACTGTGCTTAAGATRATCCCGATAATACCCGTATGCAACTGTATGGATCCGTATCGGCTCATGAACTATACCTCTTCGCTTGAAACTAAACGCGAGTGAATGAAAATCGAAATGTTTTTGTGGAATTTGAACCGCTTGTTTGTGCTTCAGTTTTAAGAGAATTTTTCAACGTTTCACTTCCTACTTTTGGCCGAGAATTTCAATCATATATCAATATCGGGGATTCATTCATTTTCTATTCATCAATCCATTCTTCATTTCATCGTTTGTTTAATTCATATTCATTTATTCGTTTATCCATTTGCCAAGAGGGTGGGCTATTGTTATTTTTATTAAATGTTATGATTTCGTAGCAAAGGCTGACTGGAAGTGCTTAAACTGAAATGACAAAATATCGAAACGAAAGAAATAGAATTGAATCGCTCTTTTTTATATTTTTTTGTTTCTTTAGTCTTATTTTCACTATTCATTTTCATTCATCCGCCATTTCTCTCTTTCATTAGCATATCCTATCGGTATTTTGTTTTTTRTATTTTTCATAGCGGTGTTTATTGGATTAATCGGTTTGCTTTTGTACGATCTAGTCTAGCACCACATCGTTTCCCCAACGTAGCACACCATTTGGTAATCGAAAATAAACACTCAACATTCCGATAAAAAACAAGCCAATGTGATGCGAACTCTTTATCGCTTAATTCAAATCTAAACTAAGAAATAAATAATTCACTTTCTAACGCTGTCTGATCACAAACGCAWAACTGAACTCAAATATCATAAAAGCGAAGAGTTTATAGTTTCTTTCTASGAGCTCAGTGTTGACCAACTTCGTGGACATCTGTCAAAATCGAAATTGGAGTGTAGTAGGTAAAGGCTGTATTGTAAATGCATTCATTGAAATCGTAGACGAAAATTATARATAATAATCGAACCGGCTATTCCGTGTAGTTCAGTGCACACACCTCTTACTTACCTTATCTTTAAGGGGGAAAGACTACGTTTATTATTTACTCTTACTTTAGACTTCCCACGCTTTATCAATTTCTCATTCTGTGAATTCTATTCTCTTTAGAGGATTTTAGACGAAATAAACTGCATTTAACATATCTAATAGCAAAACTCAGATGTGGCAAGTCGCCTTTTGAATAAATGATTAACTATTTAGACAAGGAATGTTTGTCCTTGTATTACCTAGAGTTCTGTATAGTATCAAAGCTAAAATACGTCCCTGCTTTTGCTCAACAACCTAAATTAATTAGCTTATTTAGATATTATTTATATCATCTTGTGTAGATGGTTTTTCAATGGTGCAATTTGATTTTTTGTGTGTGCATTATTGKCACCTAAAAAACTGAGAAATTTCAATCATTCCATGAATATCATTTTCAACGTTTTACCAAAAATGAATTCGTTTCGACTGAATTCCAATCTTGATTATATATATATTTTAATTCCTAGATATTTTAAAAGCAGTTTTTATTTCATAATGATCTTATTAAGATTATCGTATCATTCCTTCCTATCTGTCTTAGTTTATCCCGATCAAAGAAGCCTGTTTTACGTCTTACTTTTTTTATTCTCCCAAATCCATCAAGTTTCAGTCCTTTGTCTCGCATACWTTTTAAGCTTTGAGATGATTTTTCATCGTTTGAGATATAGAGAGTGCCGAATAATATAACTGATAAATCTGTCTACAAAGTCTAGTTTTCTCTAGATCTTCTCATCCACAGTCTTCGCATTCATTTTTACAGTCGTTTTACATCATTTCTCAGGTAGATTTTAGTTTCTTCTAAGTGCAGTAACATATTCTTTTCTGGATCTATTAAGTTCATTTTATCATTGATTGTTGCTAACTGTCTGCCTTTAGTTCGGCTAAYTGCACACTGTGTTTGCCACTAATGTAAAACGTTGTACAAATAGGTCTGTTAATGAGTCGCATGATTCATTTTCAGTCATCTTTGGCACTGAGTCTGTCACGTGATCCATTTCCACCATGTTGGATACCAGGCGTCCAACATGATCAGTAACATTCCGTCCTTAATCAGATTGTTAAGAAAAATGGTGATTTATTTATCTATTTATTTTTATTTTTTGCAGCSTGCTGCAAATTTTAAAAGATGCGGGCCAATGTTTCATTTAGGTCTTTTCTTGCAGCTTTCTTGATATATTTGCAATTGAAGTAAACTGTATATCATCTATTATTATATTGTCTCTGCAGCCGTCCTTAGGTTCGGGMCCAGATCCTTATTGGTCCTCTCCATTGTGGTTGGTGCATAGGGTCCRTGATCTGGGACCGAAAGTAATGACGGCTGCAAAGGAGACTATAGATAATATCAAAAACACCTATAAAAAACTACGGATGCACCTAATCATGTACATAATGATTYTCTTAATTTCAGGGCTCGGATTCTATGTATGATTTATCTGACACAGCTAGCGTACGAAGCGTTGGTTCATATGGGTCATCATCTTCATTAGCAATGGCACAAAGTGGCGCTCCAGAACTTCTTGTTTCTCTTTGTTACCAGTCCCTCACTGGCCGGCTAACTGTAGAAGTACTGAAGGCCAGTAATTTACGCAACCTCTCGATGCAGAGAGCACCAGGTGAGATCATTGGGATGCTTTGRGGGAAGGGTGGTAGGGAAGACATGAAATCAGTGGATCTGGCAAATAGCATATGATTAATATTTTGCCTCTAGCCGACGATGGCACATTCATTGTGCTGTTTTMAAAGTGTGCATGGGGTAACATATGGAAACCTTCATCACGCTTGCTTCAAATCAACGCAGAARCTTTATACCGCGCATGCGTCAACTGAGTAATCTAATGCGCATGCGTCAAGTGACTCCCGTGCTTGAATATATTATGAAGATATTGCTATGATACTAACTTAGGTCACCTTGATGGAACTTAGCGAATACCAAAGCATGTCACCACTGGTTTCCCTCCCAMTGATATATAACATGATGTTTTTCATTATAATGTATTCCTTATATTCCTGACTCAACTAACGCCTTATAAACCGACTGAGTCTATCTAAACTTGCTAAAGCTTGTCTTGCGCTTGCTCAACTGTGCATTACATAACTAAACTTGGTTTTAATGGTACTCAAATTCGATTTAACTGGACTAGAATCCAAAGAAACTAAGTTTTATGAATACCAGAGGTATCTGAGACGCTTTGCTTGTGATTCAGTGCTCGGTTGGGTACGGTTTAAAAAAAAATTCTTCAATAGCTTCAAAGACTTCAATGAAAGCTAAAAGATAAACATGACAAAACTACCAAGTCAATAACTAACACACTCAAAGGGAATATTAAGGCAACCGGAATATAACTGGAAAAAATAAAAAATTCAATAAGCATCAGGTGCTAAAAAAATCCCTCAAAAAATATAATAAAGTTTTGGAAGCGGATATGTCTTTAWAGGAATTCAGTACACCGATTAAACCAGTTTTAAATTTTAAATAAATGAAAAAAGTAAATGAAATGAATGAAAGAAAAATCGCAGGGAAAGAACGATGAAATACGAGAGGTCAGTTTAAGCGTCCAAAGTGAAGAACAATGTAGCTATCAACTGCTTCAACTGTTTCTTTAAGGTGAGCTCTAAACACTGGTGATGGTTTATAATGTTTGTCTTATTTTCTAATATTATAGCATAACCTTTTTTTCCTTCAATCTTTATCTTCTCTTGAGTTTTTGATTAGTGCGCCCTCTTGGTTCCTTAATTGTCTGACATCAGTGAGCTGCGTGGGCGGATGTGGTTGATCAAATTGAAGCCAAAGGCTTTTTTAATGCAATATCTTCAGTAATCAGTCTTCTCCACCTCAAAGTTGTGCCGGTCAAAACAATGACAAATATTGTTTAGCGCAAAGCAGTTTTGTTTTTTGACAACAATCTATATATCTAAAGTGTTGTTCATGGTAAACCACGGGTCTCGCCAGACACACCAACGCATAACCGCTGTAAATGCTTTCATGATGGCGGAAAAGAACGACTTTGGCAGACCATCTGCTGGTTGTGTCAAGAGCCGAAACGTTTTAAATCATAGGCTTGACCTGCTAATACTTGCTCTCTTCCTTTTTCCTTATCTTATTTCCATTCTTCTTTTAAAGGTTTCTTTTAAGGTGACGTATGGTTAGTCACGTGTCAGGTACATGCGCTGGTCATGTAATAGTCATGTGGCTGCTTTTCCATTCTTTTTTAAAAGGTTTCTTTTAAGGTGACGTGTGGTTAGTCACGTGTCAGGTGCATGCGCTGGTCATGTGACAGTCATGTGGCTGCTTAGTTTCTTAGGTGAAGACCGGTTAGTCACGTGTCAGGTGCATGCGCTGGTCATGTTACAGTCATGTGGCTGCTTAGTTTCTGGTGAAAGATGCCGTGTTTGATTGGTTAATATATGCATGTGATAAATGCGCATATCGTGTTTCACTAATTGACATGTACGGTGCATTGCATGGTTCGTGGGCAAAGTGTGTGCGTGTAGCATATTCTATTTCATGTTCAAAGGTTTCATTCTTTGATAGATATGTGCATTGTGTTGCTTCATTGGCGTGATAAATGTGTGTGTGTCTATCGTGATGTAATGTAGTTGCGTGCGATATTCCTAATTTCCTAATTTATCTGCATGCTGTTTCCTCATCTATCTAAGGCACCTGCCTGCCTGCCTGCCGTTCTTAATCTTGTGAATTGTCTGCATGACTAAAATGAGTTGTACCACAATACCACGCACATACTATCCAACCTTCAAATGACTCCGACATCTGTTTTATAATGCTACCATTTACTAATGATAACTTGAATGTTCTTTGGTCTTCTGTTCAGCTAGACATTGATAATGACTTCTAACTGAATGGCGCTAATTGCATGCTCGCAGAAAACCAAGCTATCTATATTTTCTACTAACCATTCTGTGTTGTTGTTCTTTCTTTGATTCTTTAGCACCCCCCGCGCACAGCACAAAATCTTAATAGTTCTTCTCACATTTCACTAACAGATACATATGTCAAAGTGACGCTAGTTTCGCCATCGGGAAAGCAAGTCGCGAAAAGTAAAACTACRATAAGAAAAAGCATGGCAGATCCAGAGTATAATGAAAGCTTTGTTTATGAGATCTCAGAGAAAGATTTACCTGAAATGACTCTGATGTTCTCTGTAATCGCCATATCTAAGGCGAGAAAGAAAAAAGAAATGCTCGGCTGGTTTGCTCTGGGAAAGAACTATAGCGGCCAAGAAGAAATCCGCCAATGGAATGRCATGATACAACAAAAGGAACAAAAAATTAGCCAATGGCATACGCTTGCCGATGCATAGATYAATAACCAATTACAGATCTTCGCTCATTTGTAAATTAGCCAATCACTGCAGTGGACCTGAACTGACGCCATCTAAATTAGCCAATGACAGCCATTAGAAGTTATGTGTAAATCAGCCAATGACCGCCTTTTAAAGGATAGTCTAAGCTCATTCGTAAACGACAACTCCTAACTCTTAAACTGAATAAATAACTCACTAAACACAAATCAACTTAAAGATAAAAAAATAAAATCGCTCTAAAGCGTAACAATGCTCAGTCTCTTTTAGCATAACAAGAAACGCAATCAGTTTTAAAATCAGATCGAAAAATTAGACAACCAGAAAAAATGCGCGAAAATTTGGTTTCCGTTCCTCCAACAAGTAAAAAAAGCAGCCGTTTCGTAAAAAAATTAAATGGGTAATGTAAATCGTAAAATAACAGTTTAAAACATTTCTTATCATTCGTTTACGAACATATTTTTAGGTGTTTGTTTTGAAAAAAAAAGTTTTTTATTTAAATTTTTAAGAAAATTAATGATTATGGGCTTCGTCTTTGTGTAGACTAGTAGTTTAAAGTTTTCGTTTGGTYTTGATCTCTTAGAAGTTGTTGCCAATTTTGGTAAAATGTATTAGATGGCTCTCRAACTTTGAGCAGTGAAACGGAGTTAACCGCTAGCGTGGCTCAAAAGTCTGTTTGCAAAATATCGCGCCGATAAATAGGAGCATGCGCACGAGCTTTAACTAGTTCCACGGAAAAGATATGAGCATGCGCATATATGATCGGTCTACACAACGATGAAGCTCCAGAAATAGAAGTAATATGTGTAATAAATGTAGGGTTTTTTTAGAAAATAGATAACGCTAACGTTAAAAAGACAATTTCTTTTATTATAGATTATTCGGATCAATCAAATTTGCCGAGTGAAATTCAAAAATTTATAGCCAATTTTTAGTTCTATAATGTTGAGTTAAAAATTTAATCATTAGATAGAATATAAAGATAAAAAGTCGATTAGATCGCGCGATGTGGTCGTCTGCTAATCATAAATAATGTAAACGACTTTAACTGACTTTTATTCTTACGTGTTGTTACTATAAATAACTCATTTTTTGAGGGTTTTTTGGGATAATAGGATTTATTGCTATTCAAAATCGATAAGCTAGAGGACTATTTCAGTTTTTGCACTTTAAACTCCAAGCTTATATTTTATGTCTAAATCATCGATTTATTAATTCTACTTCAAACGATTTGTGAAAAGATTAATTCCATGTCATTCAAGATAAAAATAAATTAAAGCAATGTTCCCTTTTACTAGCTTGACATCAGTAAAAAWATATATAACTCACTAGCTTTTTTACTTTAAAGAACCGTGGGAAGACGATTAAGGACGTTATATATTGTATAAAAGGGTTATRAAATATGGAAGGAATAAACGACCTTTAAACAAATACATAATTGTTGGGTTTTATTTTTATTTTCTTTCTTTTCGCAATAACTTGTTTTCTTCATTGATGCCTTGTCTTTTAGCTTAAATTTTGTTAAGCCAGATAATAATAATAATAATAATAATAATAATGAATAATATTAATGGTGATGATAATGATGATTAATTAACATTATTAACCAACATTAACCCAATACAAAAAAAGTCTGCACAGTTTTATTAACCGGGGATTGGTAGTAACCAAGGTAACCAATTCAGAATAAATCATTAAAACACTCCAATGAATCTAAACGGAATTTTTTTTTATTGATTTCTTACCTTTTCCTTCCTTCCTTCATTTCATTTCATTTTCCGAACTTTGAATTCTAAAAGTCGTAGATTTAATCATGTTAATGTTTAGGTTGTAATCATGGGGATTCTYAATAAGAACACCTAGTGGATCCTGGTGATTTCCTATTTTTCTCTTTATATTCTGTCAGCTTACCGTAAGCATTTTTCATTAATAGCTTGGGACTTTTTCCTAAAGAGGTGATTTACCCTGCAAACCGTAAAATAACCCTTAAAAAAGGTGTATTTGTCAAACCAGGATCAAAGCAGTTTAAAAGCTTTGACTATTCCCAAATAAACCATGTTCAATCCAAGGGAAATTTGTTTAAATAGGTACGTAAGATAAACGAAGTATAAATCAAGGGTCTTCAACTATAACATAATGAAAAGACATGACGTCAATCCTCAGAAAAAAATTGTATAAATCAGGTCACGTGGTGGCCGTTGCGATGGTAATGGGCACCAGGACGAGGCTATGAAGTACGATTAAAAACMGACCAATCACAAGCAAAGCGGTCAGATTAATGAAATGGTTAAAGTAAGCTTCTTGTCTTACTCGAGTTTATTTTTGATCAGTCATTTTCATTGGTTGCTAGGTAACCAGGATTATCATTCTAAGTCGTCATCGTTATTATATTCCACTCAGTCTCAAGATCGCATGCATCAACATCTTTTAGCGATCTGACAGGATACGACTAMATAACGTTGCACATTATCCATAAAAATTATTTCCTTTTAGGTCAAAGGAAATAGCTATGTTTTGTTCACTCCATTTTACATAATAATTAATCCTACACAAGTGTATTTTCAATATTTTTTATTCACTTCTACATAACAAAACCCCCTGTGGCCTGTTATCATGGGTCGAAACCCGCAGTGATTTCCCTCCTCGACGTCATTTAGCTCTTCTAGCCTGCCTGTCCGGCTCCAACTTGCATTACATCTAGATATTAAATTTCCCAAGATATATTTACACAAGAGAAGTTGCCGAAGGATAAGGTTATATTTGCATTCAATAATATTGGTTCGCTAGTTATGATAGCTGGCATAACAGCGCCCATTCTCCTTCTACCTCTAAGTAGTAGACTCTAACTCAGCCTCTAGGGCTCAAGTACTAGGTTTACCACTCGCTACTTTGATTCGAGGGTTTTTCTCCTGGTTCTCCGATTTTYCTCAATCCGCAAAACCTAACAMTCTAAACAGAAAACAGTAKACATCGATAAAATTTGAAAAGACTTAGARCTTGATCATGTGAGAAYKACAGATTATAGCACCTTTTGTGAGAAGTTACAGCTTTTTTCATCAATAAATAAAAGAAAGATAACAATATGAATGGAAAAGTAAATTTGAGAGGAGTCGATGGGAATTCAATCATTATAAACGCCAGCTTGAGTGGTTATAACTAACAAATGTGTAGAAGGAAAATRAAATAGCTGAATACAAAACGTAATGAAATAATGAAAAATGAATAAAAAATAAAAATAAAACGCGGAAAAAATATGCGGCGTCGAATAAGGAGGGAATAATTTCAGTCAATAAAAACTAGATAAAGAAAAAGAAAAAAGAAGAGGGCGATTTTTCTCTAAAAAACTTAAATATGTTGGAAGTATGACGACCACATATCGATCGTTAAACATTTCCCGATCAAGGTTAGGTTTTGTTCAGCCCCCGACAAGACAGTTGGATTCTTGTGTTTTGATTTCAAAATTTTTACAGAATGTTATGCCGTGTACACTTCGGGTGTAATAATTGCAAAATCTACTATTAGCAGGGTTTTCATTCAGGTTTGAAATAGTGTAGGAGAAGATCATGAATTGCTGGAGAATCCTGGGGACAGGGGGAACATTTTACACGTTACTAAGCTACTAAATAATTAAGCCGAAGAATTTTGCTAATGTATTATTCGCTCCCCGACCCTGAATGCGAACCCTTTCAAGGTTGGATGTTCGAGCTAGCCGTACCCTGACTCAGATCAGCCCAGAGGTTGTTTCAGGGTT